GACCTATCCATATGGGTTTAATAATCATGAAGCAGCAGATTTCAAGAAAATATTCATGCAAATCCTTGATAATTTGGACAAAAAATGTTGGAGTAGATGACGTCATTTACTCCATCCTTTTGTTCTTCCATATTTTGAATCAAAATTTATCTGATGTGGCGGATAATTACAAAACAAATATTTTCCAGCAATTGTTTTTAATAGATATCAATTAGTATTGTATTGCTTGAAGTTTTGAAATAAGGCCATTTTCATGCAAGCAGCACTTTAAGAATATAGCTTTCATGTGAATATATTATTCTTGTGTAATTATTCTCATTATGATAATGAGTAATTCTATAACATGTTGCACTCAGAATTCACTAATTGGTCTTGGCATAATCTAACTAAAAAAACCAAAGTCATTAATAGCTTATTTATTTAATAAAAGAGAAAGAGCGCGAAACTAGCTGCTAAATAAGGACAACTAGTCCATATATGGAAACAACATCCCATAAGGCCATGCACCTAAACTAGGACAGCGGCCATTTTTCACTTTGCGAACGAGAAAGAACGTGTTTTTAGTTTTGGCTTCACAATTTTCTCTTCATTACTATGTTGGCAAACGATTCTATTGAGCCTACGGGTTCTGTACATTCAGAAGAAACGTCTGAAGAAGGTTTACCAGTGGAAAACGACTCTAATACCGATCAATTAGCTATTCAAGCGGAGCGTTTGTCGATGAGCGGCTTCTCAATCGTGCCAACACAACAGTCCCCAAGCAAAGAGGGCGAATCTTTGGGTCGTAAGCGATCCTACCAAGCCAGTTTATTGAGCCTAAAGGCTAACCAAGGAAAACTGCAGATACGTGAAACCTCTCCTTCCAGACCTAGTTATCCAATCAGATGCGTCGGGGTCGGGTTGGGGGGCAGTGTGTCAGGGAACGAGTACACGGGGAACCTGGTCTCTAAGAGAGTCAACCCTCCACATCAACTGTCAAGAGCTGCTAGCAAAAACGTATGCTATCAAAGGTTTTACGAAAGCTCGGTGCAACATACATGTCTTGATTCAAATAGACAACACCTCGGCAATAGCATATGTGAACAAAATGGGGGGTGCGAAGAAAGGGGTATTAGACAGTCATGCACGCATGCTATGGGACTGGTGTCTGTCGCGCAAAATCACCTTGCGAGCAGAACACCTGCCAGGTCGTTGTCTCGAGCCAAACCCGATGTTGCGGACTGGAGACTGGACACAGGGTTGTTTCAGACCCTTTGCCAACTGGAACAATGCACAGATGGATCGTTTTTACAGCTACCTTCCGGACCCAGAAGTGGAACAGTTCGATGCTCTCATTCAGCCATGGAAAGGGGAAAATTGTTATGCATTCCCTCCTTTCAATCTGATCAGCAAGTGCCTCAGAAAGACAAGCAACGAAGGGGCATCAGTACTTCTGATATGCCCAGTATGGCCTGCCCAGATATGGTACCCAAACCTTCTGAGCCTTCTGGTTTGCAACCCAGTCATGTTAACCTGCCATCAGGACCTCCTAACAGACCCTCTGGGCAACCATCATCCACTAGTCAAAAACAGCTCCTTGGTCCTGGCAGGATGGAAGGTCTCAGGCATCAGTTCTCAACAGAGGGAATATCTGAAAACGCTGCAGACATTCTCCTGTCTGCCCAAAGAGTGTCAACAAGGGCTCAGTACAAGTCTTGCTGGTCAAAATGGAATTGCTGGTGCTAAGAGACAAAGTGATCCCTTTCGACCACCTGTGAAGGATGTTTTACATTTCCTCACAGAGTTATTTGATCAAGGTAAGCAGTATGCTACTATCAATACTTACCGATCTGCTATAAGCTCTACGGTACCTCATATAGAAGGTGCCCCAATAGGTCAGCACAGGCTAATTTGCAAGTTTATGAAGGGTGTGTTTAACAAAAGGCCCTCAAAACACCGGTACTCTCAAACATGGGATGTTTCTAAAGTGATCGTCTTGTTTGAAACTTGGCCTGATAATAGTGCCCTTGACCTTAAACGTTTGTCTAAAAAGTGTGCTATGCTTTTAGTCCTTACAAGTGCTAAACGTCAATCTGATCTACATGCCATAGATCTGAATTTTATGAGATCTTTACCGGAAGGAGTTGAATTTAAGATCCCCGGTTTGACTAAAACTAGAGCCCCAGGGAAAGATTTCACCTTTTTCTTCCCTGCCTTTAGAGATAAGGCTAAGCTGTGTCCAGTGTCGTGTTTAGAAGAATATATCAAACGAACACAACATCACCGGTTGCACAATGATCGACTGTTTTTATCAGTACAAAAACCGTTTACTGCTGTTTCTACAGCATCTATGGGGAGATGGTTGAAGGACGTCCTAAAGGAGGCAGGAGTAGACACGTGTGTCTTCAAGGCACATTCCACAAGGAGTGCGTCTACGTCTTCAGCGAGAAGAAGTGGAGTTTCAGTTCAGGACATTTTTAAATGCTGCAGATTGGTCTAGAGATCCAACATTCAATCGCTTCTATTATCGCCAGACTTATTCAAGCTCTTTTGGCAGGGCAGTCCTGTCATAGGTCAGCAGCTTTGAACGAGACCAATTAGTGAATTCTGAGTGCAACATGTTATAGAATTGAAGATTGTGCTAGGCTACAAAGTAGCTGAAGTACAATCAGAATTCTATTATTGTTGCACGAAGAATTCACGAATCCCCCCTTCCCTCCCTCCCACATGACATTCCTGCTCTGCAAAACCTATTCGGTTTTCTTCATTCCTTTATTAGATGAGGTTTATAATATAACCTTACTTTATTCTGTCCTCAGGTGGTTGACAGATTGGACATTTCTGACATTACAGAACGTCACATTTTCGTTATTGTTGCAATAAACATTTCATTCCATCTTTTGTGGGTATTTAATTGTGACTGATAAAAGTTCAAATGGTCGCTGTCCTAGTTTAGGTGCATGGCCTTATGGCATGCTGTTTCCATATATGGACTAGTGATCCTTATTTAGCAGCTAGTTTCGCGCTCTTTCTCTTTTATTAAATAAATAAGCTTTTAATGACTTTGGTTTTTTTNTACTTTTACCTTTCTTGTTCTAACAGGAATTGATTTAGAAAAACATTCACTTAGTATTAATTCCTTTAATCCTGTTTTCATGTATTATTTTCGGGGTTAGGATATAATTTCTTTGGCACCCATTTACATTCCGGTGTATCTTGTTTTGACATTTATTGTCCTCCTTCTGGCATTACCTCAGCATTTCATCGTGCATGTTTGGCAGTATGAAGTAGTGAGTTTATTCTGTTAGGGTCACAACGACTAGGATTAATTCATGCATAGGSGAACGTAGGAATGTCACGTGTCAGTTATTTAAACACAGTAGCAAATCTCCTTTCTCAGCGCATCCACAGCATCTTTTCCTGGTTACTAGGTAGTACGTGCGTTCAACTCTATTATGCAAATCTTTTCCAACGGATGGTAACGGAATGTAGTTACACTAATACTACAAGTGTCAAGTTTATGACAATCAAACAAGATACTTCAATTTTGTTTTTGTTTTCGGAAAGCGAAACAGTTCAATATCAAAATTCTTGTCTCAGTACTTGTCTCAAAGTTTGTTTTGTTTTTGTTTGCCTTTGTCAACATTAGCGTAGAACGGTAAAAACTACGAAAAAATGAAACCGAAAACAATTGCGGTAATTAGGGAATGAAAAGAGAGACAAACCGGTCTGTTCAACTCATTTCTGAAATGATTATTCACAAATTGTTACCAAGACAGATATGTGTGTCAGTTTTAGCTTGTTCTTCTTTGAACCACATCTGTGCCCTGGTCCTCGAGCCTGTTGAACCTGTAAGTCCAGATAAAAGGATTTGATTCGTTTTTAAAGGCATTCCGTTGTAATTAGCCCATCTATCAGTTTTCAAGACCTGATAATCTTAACTAGTTGGCGCTAAGTAGTTTACGATTTTGATTAATGAAGCAGATAATAAAKGAATATGATTACTTTGGGTTTACTGTCGAAAGGACTCCAAGGAGACTAACAATCTTGCGATGATCTCTCATCGGAAATGGCTWATTAATCATGGCAATACTGACAATAATGAAATAGCCATATTATTGATGTGTTACATATGCTAATGCAATTCTAGAGCTTAACGTTTTGATATTAAAGCATTTTTGTTAATGATTGAGCGCCAAACGTGTCGGTCAGAAAACGATTTTTTTCTGTAACAATCTTTGCGCAATTTTTTAGAAGTTTATTTAGTTCAAATTCAAAAACAAGAAAAGCACTTCGAAAAGCACTKTGAAAGTTGAAGGATGAAACAAAGTCCAATGTTGCATGCCGGATACGATTTAACCGGCTGTTAGACTAATTTCGGTTTTTTAAACGGGGTGGGGCACACGGTGTGACGTAGAATGCGATATCCGATTTTTCGCTGAAATAGGCGGATGTCAACTTGAAATATTTGATAGTGTAATAAAATAGTCCAATCAAACGCCCTTCTTTCATATTTGTCGCCAGTAAGTCGCGTGTAACATTTGTCCACAGCTTGACTCACGCCGTATTCATCAAAAGATGCCCTGACCTTGCACTTAGCTTATGAATCAGCACTTCTGTACTAGTATACCCCTCCCTCCCCCAAACCCCAAGCACTGTTTAAGTGTGACGTGTGACTTCCTTCATTACTAATCGACAGATTTTTTTGTCGGCAAAATGATCGGGCATATTAATAAGGTATCAATCGTCCTTGTTTCTCTGATTATCTCTTCACATCTTGTTATCAGTGATAAGATAGAGATAGTTAGCGATATCATGTCACCTGGAGATTCAGAATATGATAACCTCGAAGTTTAACCTTGACATGTTTCAAAGCTATAATGAGCGAGGAACGGAAAGCTGTGGAATTTTCTTGTATTTTTTTATTCTGTCGATATTTTCTGGCAGATCTAGTAATAGACGAATTTTAGTTTATTTGTCTAAGAAGGTATACACCTGTTTGGATAATGTTGATTTTAAATACAGTTAGCTTGTAAAGAAAATATTCTGCGACCTTTTCTTTGGGGATACCGTCTTTGCCGGTTCAAGTGGAATGACAGTAGTTTTGCATAGGAAATTCTAACGTTCGAGGAGAAAATAAGTCACTTTTTTGTAGATTTGTAATTAATAGGAACTTTCACCTTAGAGAATAACCAATGAAAAATACCGCTTAGTTTGATGAAAATGGCTCACATCGTATAAACGAGCACTTTATTTAGGTGTAATATTAGGGACCGTTCATTTTTTATCGGGAGGGGGGGAACTTCGACAAAACAAACAAACAAAAAAAAAACAAAAAAACAATGGCCCCTCGAAGTTGGATATAATTTTTTCAAATCACAGCCAACCCATTGAGCATGTCTTATTGACACGAACCCACACTCTCTTGATTCTTAAGAAATATGTTGTATTGAATATTCAAGTAATATTGGATAATAATTTTGCATGCCCCCCCTAACAAGGTTTAAAACCACCAGCCTCCCTTACCCTCCCGATAAAAATTGGTCCCAATCTCGTCATTATCAGTGATGTAATTATACATTTCTTTGCAAGGTTAGATTGATAGGTTGATTTTTTCGGCAACTAATTATAGTTAATTTCCACCAAATTTTGAATTTGTGATACCTTATCTTGCAGTACCCTCTAAACCAGCAAACCTGAACATTACCGGACAGATACCAAGTGCAGACCATGGTATCATTGCGACTTTAACATGGACCATGCCTTTAAATAACAAACTTTAYTATTACTACGTGCGTTATCACTTGAGTGGTCAACAGCATCACATACAAAAGAGAACGAGGACCACTAGCGCCAAGATTTCCCTCAATCCAAACAGTCTCTATGTTGTGAAAGTGATGGCTATTGATTCCAAAAATTCATCCATTCAAGGAAAATGGTCAGATGATCTTAAAGTGCAAACAGGCAATTCAGGTGATTATATTTTTATCTAAAATTTATCAGCGTTGTGTTCTTTAAAAGCATAAATAGAACTTAACTGCCCCATTTCAATATGACGTCACATCAAAACATTCTGTTGTTTCAACGCTAAGGATTATGGTCGCCAGACGGGATCAGAGTTACTGCATATCAAATAAAATGTACATGAGCAATCTTTGATACATGGCGTATATCAATACACGATACAATGAAGTACTACTGCATATCAAATAAAATGTACATGAGCAATCTTTGATACATGGCGTATATCAATACACGATACATTGAAGTACTACTTCCGAGAAGTATAAAAATGGGACCAAATTTCCATTGTTTTTGAGCATCTTTGTCCGATGCAAACATTAGTATGACTTCATCTAATGAAATATGGCAGTTATTGGTGTGAGATTCTGTCCGGTAAAATTTTCCAACTATTAAGGTGTGTTCTTATTATTTACTGAGCCGGATCCAATACAACACCCACTGCTTCAGTAACTCACCACATTGAAATCCTGTGAGTCTTTGCTGAAAGGGATACAYGCACAAGCACATCGCAAATATCATGTTCGTTTTTGGCTGTATTTTCTTTACATTGTAGCGATTGTCAGCTGGRAACGTGCTCGTGCATGTGTTGAATTAAGAACATAGGGGAAATTGCCATTATTGTATTAAATGATTTCAACCAAATGTTAAATGCTCATATATATATTTGTTTGGTTACCAGTTCCCAAGCATGCCCCTGTAAACGTCACAGCAACTGCAATCACTGCGACGTCAATCTTCGTGAGATGGGGACCAGTTCCACAGGAATCCCGCAACGGCAAACTGCTTGGATACATTGTCTTCTACGGACAAAGAAAYAATAAAAGATGGAAGACCAAGAAGCTTAAAAACCCACTGACATTCCAGTACCGTCTCGGTGATTTGCCAATAGGAGTAAATTACCGTATAGCCGTTGCCGGGTACACCGTGATAGGGGTGGGAAAGAAATCCGTTGCCGTAGATGTAAAGCGGACACGTCCAGCCATTGCCTCTACAAGGGGAACAACTGGTAAGATTGAAAGAATTTTTACTAAATCATATGAATCCAACACCTTTTACTCGTGGACACCATTGAATCTTTTTCCTTTGTCATCCACTGGGTCTACTTACAGACCAATTCAAAATATGTCTCCGAGGGAGCGTGATACTCGGGTTAAAATATAAGTAAAAATGACAATTGTTCTGAACTAAGAACTAAAGGTACTCGGCATCCACGGGARATTCTTTTGTATTGCTGCATGAGCAAGAGGCTTGTAAGAGTACAAATATAAATTGTCGGTCTATACCTGCAGTCGTGCGCAGCAAATCAGAATCATCTTTTTAACTTTACAGCTAATCCTACTACAGTTGAAGGTACAGAGGCTACCAAACCGAAGTACRTRMACAATCACATTCCTAAACCKACAACTAGTAATTACAAAATGGCTACATATGAAATATCAAGCCAAYCACGACAAATGGAGGACGTCAGTCCAACTACAGTTGTCTCTTCAGGATCGCCAAGTATGTACAGTTTGTTGAACAATAGGCCTTCTGCATGAAACGGTCACATGGTACTAAATCCGCAGGCATGTTCAAAACAAAAACAAAAAAACAAAAAACTTGACGGCCTGCGTTCCTTTTGATTTTGAGGTTGTTTGCATTCTCTTGCCACCCAGTATGGCGGATTTATTAGTACCATGTGACCACTTCATGCAAAATGCCTATTCTCAAATYTGTCAGCCTAGCCAATAACTGTGAGTGTTTTATCTTGACCTTTTGTTTTAGCTAATCATTGTGATTCTTATATCTCAAATTTAGCGTAGCAATTCACAAGATGAATTATTAAGATTATAATAATTGCGCAGTCAATCAGCGTTAGTGTTATATCACAAATATATGGTGTAAAACCCATTTGCACTGAGCAAGTATATACACAACGCAACGTTACAAACATTTTTTCAGTCAATCAATACAACTGTTAGATCTAAATTATATTTTCACGCTCAAATTAACATTTCTATTTCATGCTGCTTACGYAGATGCYCAAGCAAATAAAGATTTACAAGAAAATAAAAGTTCATCTGGACTCGTTTACAAGTTTATCATCCCGGCTGCTATTGGTGGTCTAGTCATGGTGATACTCATCATTTGTATCATGTGGCGGCAAAGAAGGGTTAAACGAAAACGTAACCAGGGGGAAGAAGCCATTAGACTCACGCCTGTGAGCGAACAACCTAAAAAGAAGGAGAAATCAAAATTTGCCGTGACACGAGGTGAAGGTAGCATTCGTTACGCTCCACCACCAAAGGCATACACAGAATCTGGACCACCACCGCCACCTCCTCCGCCACCTCCAGACGCCAATCCTCAGGGTGGCAATGCRCAATCACGTGAGAATCGAGAGAAGTTGAGCGTCATTTCAGAATGTGAACCTCCTGCACCAGAGCCAGAACCTAGTAAAGTAAAGCGGCCGTACGCGGAGGTGTCAATCGTACCGAATGACAAGGATGATCGTTACGTAAAACGGAACGAACATAAACCCGTTCCAAGCTCCCCCAGCAAGTCTACGACAAGCGAAGCTGGATATGAAAACATGCAGCATTTATATGAATGTCTTGATCGTGTTAAGAATAACAAAGGAGGTCCACTTTATATGAATGTTGGAACCGCTKCCCAAACYGATGAGGAAGGACTGTATGAAGAGATACCCGCTGACAAAAAGGACAWTGGTAATGAGCCCGCAGTGCGACAGCCGCTGCTCGAAAATAACGCTAATGTGCAAGTCAAAGCTGAATATGTCTGATTGGAACAGTGAGGTAGTTTTGTGATTTTACAAAATGGAAATGTGATACAAGACTTTGGCACATACTTGGGTTACCTGTGGTATTCCATGGATCGCAAAAATCACTAAATGAATTTCGTAAATACTTGAATATCACTGTAGACAGTGACCGTAAGATCATTATGTAATCATTATTTATTTAGATGTATAACATAGTTAAGATCTAAGTAATTAGTATGCGACATGCTTGATTTTAAGCACCTCCCTGATTTAAGTATACTTTTGATTTTTTAAAAGTTCAATTATAAGTTTTGGTCAGTTTTGCTTACATTAAGTTACTGCTGATAACATTGTATAATATGCTTAATCTGAACATAGTTTTMCACTAATGGAGTTGTTGGACAGGTTTCTAACCAAAGGTAGTCTCCTTCGCAGCCTCCCCTTTTGTCGGGCTTCCTGTCTTGGGAGGGACAGGAAGCCCGACAAAAGGGGAGGCTGCGAAGGAGACTAAACCAAAGGCTATTTGGGCTGTCAAAAGCTTGAAGCTGACGACGTTGCATTCTAAAATGCAAATATTAGGTAAAGGTACATTGATATAGGTTATTCATACGTAAGCAACTAAGGACAGAAAATCAGCTATCCTACCTCGTTCKCTTGCTTGACGCATGTATCGTCTATAAAATTGTAGCTACTACCAACGAGGGTCATTAATTAAGCCCAGCCAATCAACATACAGAAAAAAAATGGTAAAAGGGCAATTGCATTAACTCTTGAGCTGAAAGCTATATTATGATTAGCTGTAGTTAGAACGGCTGTTATATGCCGTCGCATTATCTAGAGTATACGTAGTATATTGTAGTACGATGATTTGGAACTTGTCGATGGAGGAGTGAGATCTCCATTTTTCTCATCTTGGCATAGACAACGAAAACTTTATTCTCTTAGTCGCATTTTGAAATGGTATAATTTTAGATATAGATAWATGTAAATAGTTTATGAATTAATTCTGATAGAAGTAAGATCCTTTTGATACTCATTTTGCGTGGAATGTGGAGGGCGTGGCTGGTGTAGATTTGCGTATTTTGTTCCTCTGTCCTTATTGATCTAATCTAGCCGCGCTGTGGAAAGCCTTGGRCAAAGAAAGCATTTTCATTTTTTTCTTAAGCTTGTGATAGTGACATTCGCTTGCGTCGCGTCGAACTGGCTTTTTTTTCAAATCTTTACGGAACCAGATCTTCATTAAATTATTTTAAGCGGCACCAAACCCCCTCTACAATTATACGTTTTATGAGTATATATTTTAAAATCGTAAGTTCCAGTTTTCACGTTTATAATTATGCATAAAGAGTCTGTAAATAAAACATTAAATGTGTAGCGGCTCCAATATATCACAGTATACTCTACATGAAATCCAATATATTGGATGTAGCAAAATATTTAAGCGGCTATAAGAATCACAATAAAAAAACCATTTTAATTTCTGGATTGTTTACTAAGTAAAGATATATTGCGCCGGGAAAGGCCTAAACGTGGCCACAACTAAGTCCCCGCGATTTTTTTTATCCAAAAGCAGCGAATAAGAATTATCGGAAGCTAATGTTTAAAAAATGGGCACAATTTTAAYCTTGTAGGTCGTAATTTACTGTTGTCTCGTACTAAACGATCTACAAGGTCTTTTAAWTTAAAGTCGCTCATGGAGCGCATGTCCCTACTACGTACTGCTCTGTTTTTGYCGCAGGTATAAATATGCATTGGCCGGTGACCGATATACTACATATTATTTTGCATTATCATACTTCATACCTCTAGTGGTATTTAAAAAAAAAGATTTAGAGTTTAGAGTCATTTTAGGCAACATTTCAGACACCATTTGAAATTTAACCGTTTCCGGCAAAATTGTACAAGCCACTAATAATGAGCTTGCTACCTGTGTTCGAACGGAGGGGAGCCTGGAATGGTTTTGCGAAGATTAAAACTTATATAATGTGTGTATTAGTACATTTTGTTCATCATGGTGGTTTTAAATAGCGATCAACAGGTATAATTTATGAAAAATTTGCTTGATATTACCGAGTGTTAGTGTCTTTTTTGGATTATTTCACATTAAAAGTCCCGCTTCCAAAGATTTTGAGTCCGAGTTTGTTTTTAGTTTTGCATATTTTTTACGATATATTTTTCTTTTTTTGATTATTTCACATTAAAAGTCCCGCTTCCAAAGATTTTGAGTCCGAGCCCCTGCTCCCTCCCCCCCTGTTTTCTAATTCTGCTAATTACCTTACCATGTGGTCATTCGAGAATGTCGTTACCTGAACTGTTTCACTACATTTGGCTTTTAATTTCATATRCGCTGAATATACTACTTTAAACACTCTCTTTCAGTTTCTATCAAATATCTCGTAATTGAATTTGGGCTTTCTGTGGTTTTYAGATACTTTTAGATGTTGTTACGCGTGACAATAACGCGTGACTGCCTGGCGCGACTGTTTCGAACAGGCAAAGGGGACTGGATCTTAGTGATCTTTATAAATAGACAGAGTAGCGGTGTTTGCCCGGTCAGGCGAAACAACCACGAAGCCAAACGCACCAATCACACAACATTCGTCAAAAGCATCTGTCATTTCAGAGTCTCGATCAACCAACAAAAGCGCTCTTTTACAGACAAGGGTTTGCGTGTTGCTCGTAGCGCTGAAAACTGAGCCGTGTAAACAATAGGSTTTGCATAATGTAGTTATCTCGAAGATTCACACAAACATGTGCGTTCCTTGCTGCGGGTGGGGCGGGAATGGCCGATACGGACTCAATTTGGCGACTCTCGCCATTTTKGGGGCCAAAATGTTCAAATTTTGCCATTTTAAGGGCCAAGAGAACAAACAAAATCAGGATTTTCTCTCTTTTTATAAGGGTTATGTTTCCAAAAAATCCATATCCGACCTTTTTAAGTCATTCCGTTCTCGAATATATCGATTTTAACGCGGAAACTCGAAATKTTCAAGATTGCTCGATTTGGTGTTGAGGAGCGAAGTTTATAGTGAACGACCACTTCAGAGGGTCAGAAGGAAAGAGAAATAGCATTGCGCATGCGCAAATGACCCGAGATTGCTTGTGAGCATGCGYAGTAACGTAAAGTAGTGACTTGAAAAGCGGGCAAGTTCAAGATGGACAGGGGTTCAAAATTGTAGTATTTTTTGAGGGTAAACCATTCCGGTCCCCTTTGAGTCATCSTTCTTCATGGGCTATGGAAACGGACAATTTATCCGTCCATTCCACAGCCAAAAAGAAAGAAAAGAGTGGAGATCAACAACAACAACGCACCATTCGCTTTGCACTTGAACTGAAGGAAAGCAATGATAAATATTTTCCCGAGTTCTCGTTCAAAGAGCTGCTTCGTTCTGCTTTGGTCAGTATTCATAGACCTGAAAGATTTCTCTGACTGCATGACTTATTYTGCTCTTGCCCTCGTGGTGTTTGCAAACTTATCCCGATGGAAAATGTTTGGATTCGACGATAAATTTAGAACTAAGAAAGTTTTTGTGGAATATTTCCTAACTGTTTATGTTTTATAGGTCGGAGAAGAAAAGGATAAGCTTAARGATTTGCCAGTGGACGATGATGGAGAGAACGAGAAACTGCAAGCTCTTGCCAAGAAATTCGAAGAAAAATATGTAGGTTAAATAWATYKTAAGATTTGTCTACAAATTTACGAGAAGCCGAGGYTGCACGCGTGCCGCGGTAATCCAGCTTCATCGTTTGGTGTTGTTGTGTGACGGACTTTTTTAGCGTTTCGCATTATTATTTGTTCCACAGGGACCAAAACAAAAACATAAAAAGAAACGAAAGGAGAGAATTCAGGCAAGTTGTTATTCGCARTTTAAATYACAAAATATGATCAAACAAAGTACGTACATTCGTTGTTGGTTCTTCCACTGTTTCTAAAATTTTCTATTTTCTCYATTGTACATWGTAATTGCCATTCAAAATATTCTTTACTTTAACGACATTTCTTTTGTTAAWTTTTTTTAACCCTCGGGATAATTTAGAATGAAAAGAAAATCTATAAAGTTATACAGCTTGTAGTAACAGCTCTACATGAATCGTTGTTTATAATGGTGACGTGACTGAATCATGATTGCTTTTGTCCATGTAACATTCAAAAAGTCCTTGGATGAATTTCTACTTAAAAGAAAAACAATTCCAATGTTTTCTGAAGAAATCCAACTAGATATTTGAAAATTATCACTAGAATTAAGTGGATAATAGCTGATTAAGTTTTCAAAAACATGAACATATATTTACTTTTCTGCCAACTCTTGACCAGAAGAATCATTTTGTGGCTTTGTAATTGATTAAAAGTACGTAGTGATATTATTTCCAGTGCGATGTACGATTTTTTAATTCTATGTGTTTTTGTTGATGTCAAAGGTATATGAGTTTTGCTTAATATTTTCATCCATTTTACATCCATCTAATCATATAATTCAATGCAAGTTGAAATGAAACCTTTTTACAAACATAACAGAACGAAATGGTTCCTAATGAATGTGGTTGTAAAATATTTGATAGCGATTATTACTATCCAAAGTCAAATAATTACATTCACATTTTTSATGATTTGCACCTGTACAAAGTTTGTAAAATGCAATTAAAATATGATAATTGTGTTAACAATGTGAATAAATTTCCATTAATGATAAAGGTTGATATATATGATAAAATATAATATAATGATAAAATGTAAACCACACATGAAACAGGAAATAATGATAAACTATGAATAGAATTAATAGTCTTTTCTTTATTATTCAGGATCTAATAGATGTGACGTATGGTTATGATGAAACTGATCCATTTGTTGATAACAGCGAAGCTGTGAGTATAAATATTGTTATCAATATCTGTTTGCCAAGTTGCTCTTTCTAAAACACAAGTTCRTACATTCTGTGCTACAGTTGTGYCCAATCAAATAATCAATTTGTATGACATTGRTTTATTTGTCAAACTAAATATGTCRAACCTAATACTATAAAAAGTCTCTCCAAGTCATTGAAATTATTTTTGCCACCTACTGCAGAAGATGATAGATCAATAATTGGATCACTTCATGTAGGGTCTTTGCTATGCAGTACAACTACAGTCTTATTCTTTAATACTGAGCTAATTGATTTGTACATTTAGCTGTGYGTGTGCCTAATTAARACTGCTTGGTTTGGAGCRACTATRGYGTGACTTACTAACCAGGCCATAGTTTGTAATATGTAGCAGTAAAGAGATACTAAAATTAATGGCAGGGGTAAAATAAGCAAAAAAAGCAGGGGTAACTTGTAATAGTAGAGTAATACAGTCATTGCTTTGTTAGGTATCAGAATGGTGTAACATTTAAATGGTTTTGTCTGTTTCAGTATGATGAGTTGATTCCATCTGATTGGACGACTGAACATGGAGGTTTTTATATCAACCAGGGTGGACTGAACTTTAAACCAATATCAGATGATGAAAGGTATTAACCTGTAATCAAGAAATAACTTCATATCATATAAATATTAGAAGCATTCTTTTGCTTCCTCAAAAACCTTGTGACCTAGACTCCTTCGCATGTTTTTTTCTAACCAAAAAGTCATTTTTGTTATGCATGATGAAAGGAGAAATAGATGTAAAGGAGTGATATGACATTACTGTAAAAAAGTAACGAACTCCATATGCACTTTTTTTGAAAGTGAAGAAAATCTTACTGTCCGTATCATTTTACCTTGAATATATGAAGATATACATATTGAGTCATCATATTATATACTTTTCACAGTGATAGTGAAGATTTTAAAGGAGTTAAAAAGAGGAAGACACCGAAGGTACCTTCACCACCCCCTACACCCTCCCTTCTTACACCTTTCCTTTTTTTCTTGTTTACTTTTTGTAYTTAAACCATTAGTTTGTTCCCTTCTTTCTCTCTKTTTTCTTCTGGATTGATGGTCAAGTTCCTTAGGGAAACCTCAGATGASACGTAAAGTCAGTCATCCCCAAACTACMCTTAAGCCAGTTCTTAAATGAKAATGCTTACAGTAGAATCTACTTGTGTCTGCTATGTTAGATCAAAGGGTATTGAAGGAYGTATCACATCTAGGAAATGGCTTGCTGAATGACTAATTCCCTTTGCTATATAATCTTTTTTATTTTCTGTTTTTGCTTTAGATAATCTTCAATTAAAATCATGCATTTTTTGTTACAAAATCAATAATTTTCTGTCTTATTTCAAAGTATGTTTTATTTCAGTCTAATTGTACTGTTATTTTTAATTTCAAGAAATTAAAAGATCCGAATAAAGTTAAAAAAGTCAGAGAAGGTGGAGAAAAGAAGAGAAAACATTCAACACCATCTGATAAGGAAAAGAAACCAAGAAAAATAAGACTAATAAGGTACCTTATTTACTTTGGTTTGAGCTACAATTTGACATACCTGGATATGTTTAATCACCTGGCACGTACCCAGCAAATCAATATTCTTGCATGAACAATACCCTTCAAAGTCATTCCAACATAARACAATGAATAGCTGTCATAATMTAAAATTTTTTGATGGTGTTRAAGTGGTCAAACATTTTCTTTTTGTCACAGTGGAGACAAGGAGAAGAAGCACAGGAAAAAGCTWAACTCAACCAGCGCACCAAATGCTTCATCTGTCCTCATGAAAATAATCTCAACTACRTCATCAACAGCCTCAATAACTCAAACAGCTTCACCTGGTTCTATTAGTTCTTTAGCATCATCTGTAACAAACAACATTACCCCRGCGATGTCTACAGAAGGATCCCCACAAGATAAAGTCAAYATCAAATCAGAGACTGATGATAGTCTTGCCAAGTTGATGGATCGTACAGASAACTCTCTCTTGTCTCAGGATGGYATWAGTGGCTCATCAGCCATCAATCAAAAYGGATTGACACTTGATAAAGATGGTGGRACRACATTTGTACCTCAGCTRCCAAGTCAGCTTCCTTTGTCAGTGGAAGCATGTGTTCAGAAGTTAAAGTTAGCYGCAAATAATGCWGCAGATGAGGGTAAATGCAAGTTCTTTAACAAAGATGTCAACCAGTTGCTATTGGAGTAAGTAGAAAAACTTTTCATATAGCTATTATTTGATAGTAGYAGCAAGTTAAAATGTTTTGAAAACAATCTTTTCATATCTTTTTGATGTTTATATAATGTAAAAGTTTGGTATGGACCTTACC